GTGAGAGCGGTCTTAAAGTAATGTATACTCTATGATTATTTTATATATTTTTTCTGTTATATCATCAACGGTTTCGTAACATCATTGACGTAACTGAAATACGTCACAGTTTAATTTCCTTCCGTAGCAAAAAATTCGAGTTTTGTAATTACATTAAACAATACTAACACACAAACAATAGCATGATTTTGCATTCTCTGAATTAAAATTTCTTTTTATTTTTTGTACTTACGCTTCTGCTCAGATAAATAAAGAAATGGTCTAAGTCTGGTTTTATAAATTTATTATTCAAGGTTATCGATACTGATATACAGTGAAAACTGCTTAGGCGACCACCTGCATTCGACGGATACCTGTCAAAACGGGCAAAAATTTCTGGCACCGAATAGTTTATCCATAGTCTTCGTATAAGTTACCTATATTAAACGACCACCTGTGTAACGCGATTTCGTATATCTGGTCTAAACTATTGTTCAACAACGTTTCCCCTTGCTCCCACCCTTGAAATTAGGTGCATATGTTAATGAATTAATCTAGCAATAAAGGAAATTCATTTGTTTGTTCGAAATTGTCCGAAAAACGAAAGAAATGCAAAAGTGCTGTCGTTAGATCATGTTAAAGTTATCACAACAGCAATTAGCGGCGAAGTTTAACTCTGGGAAAACGAAATTTATTAGCAGACCTATAGTATTTTCCTTGGGGGTATAAAATATCGTACACGATACAATTAATCGGAATTACAATAAAATTTATTTTTATTTATTTAGAAGCATTTATACAGTACATGTGCGATAAATAGTTTCTGTATCAACCTACCTTATTTCCGCGATATTTTTAGAAAAATAATATCCAAGTAATTTTCGCAGGCAAAATATTCAAAAAACAAAACGCATTAATGCAAAAATCAGTTTTACAGGAAACCTTCCTTTTTCGATTCCGCAATGACAATCGTGGAATGTAATGAAATCGTATAATGAGAAATAATAATAAAATCGTTTTATTATTAATTAATAATTTTTGATTTAGTGAATGTCTCTTCAATCCGAAAAAATCTTTTCGGTAGACTACCTCACAGCCAATTCAGGTTATAAACTCCTTTTATTGTCTTTTACAGATGCATTTCGAGCTAGGTTAATTTACTAGCTCCTCTTCAGTGCTACAATATAAATTAAATTATAAAAATTGATAAAAAACAATTCGAGTAGATAATGTTACAACAAAATTAAAAAAACACATTTTACAATACCTTTAAGAGTTTCCATGAGTTTCTAATCTTTACACTTATACGGTACTTTTAGTCCCGTTTACAATATTTTTACCATCTTATACAATTACTCAAAGGGCTTGCATCTAGTATTGCAAAAAAGAAATGCTTGCTACTTTGTAAAACACAAATCATAACGTATTGTAACTTTTTACAAATGTTTAAACAAACTTTTTATAAAAACTAAACAAATAAAATATACATACTGATTTCTTTCTAATTAAATTACTATAAGAACTTGTATCTTGTTACATCATAAAAATGTACTGTTTGTTACACTAGTAATCATAAATTATAACATTTTAGTAATATTTTACAATAAACATTTAAAAAAATCTTTTAAAAAATAAACATACATACAGATTTATTTTCAATTAAAAGCATATTATCTTTCAAAATTTGACAGTATATTATTGTGCAACTTCTTTAAAAAACAATTTAGAACACAACAAAAATTTTTTTACGCGACAATGTATAATTCCTATGATGTAACTAATCTATCTTAGCGCCCTCTATTATTGTATACCATTGCTGGTCTATTTGCATACCGGTTGACACGTTTATTAATTATCATTATTATATTTTATTATTTCTATGTGTTCCTTGAATTTACGTTTATAAATATCTTTTTCGTAGTGTAGAACTTTAATATTATTTCTATCAATTTGGCAGTTGCTATTTTTTATGTGGTTAAACCACAGGGAATTATTACGTTTTAGTCTTATGGCAGCTTCATGTTCTTTTATACGTAATTCTAATGTCCTTCCTGTTTTCCCTATGTATTCTTTCGGATTTTGACAGTTACAGTTTATCTTATGAACTGTACCAGTTTTTTTCAATTTATCAATTTTGGTTTTATGTTTTCCTATTTTATGAATAGTATGTGAAATTTTATTAATCAAAGACTTTTGTTGTGTTCTAAATTGTTTTTTAAAGAAGTTGTACAAACATATACTGTCAAATTTTGAAAGATAATATGCTTTTAATTGAAAAGAAATCTGTATGTATATTTATTTGTTAAAAGATTTTTTAAAATGTTTATTGTAAAATATTACTAAAATGTTATAATTTATAATTACTAGTGTAACAAACAGTACATTTTTATGATGTAACAAGATACAAGTTCTTATAGTAATTTAATTAGAAAGAAATCAGTATGTATATTTTATTTGTTTAGTTTTTATAAAAAGTTTGTTTAAACATTTGTAAAAAGTTACAAACAGTACATTTTTATGATGTAACAAGATACAAGTTCTTATAGTAATTTAATTAGAAAGAAATCAGTATGTATATTTAATTTGTTTAGTTTTTATAAAAAATTTGTTTACACATTTGTAAAAAGTTACTATACGTTATGATTTGTATGTTACAAGGTAGCAAGCATTTCTTTTTTGCAATACTAGATGCAAGCCCTTTGAGTAATTGTATAAGATGGTAAAAATATTGTAAACGGGACTAAAAATACCGTATAAGTGTAAAGATTAGAAACTCATGGAAACTCTTAAAGGTATTATGAAATGTGTTTTTTTAATTTTGTTGTAACATTATCTACTCGAATTGTTTTTTTTATTATCAATTTTTATAATTTAATTTATATTGTAGCACTGAAGAGGAGCTAGTAAATTAACCTAGCTCGAAATGCATCTGTAAAAGACAATAAAAGGAGTTTATAACCTGAATTGGCTGTGAGGTAGTCTACCGAAAAGATTTTTTCGGATTGAAGAGACGTTCACTAAATCAACATTAAAAACAGCTAAACCATCGAAAAATTCAGAATTAATAATTTTTCTTATTGTACTTAAGAAAATATTAAAAAATATAGTATTTTTAAAGTTAAAATAAGATTAAACTAACGAATACCAAAACCAAAGTGATGTAGAGATAGGACGCGCTTGTATATCGATGACGTAATACACGTAACTGAGGAGCGAACGAAAAGAACCGAGTCGAATTAATTAAGTCGGAAGAAAGAAAGTGTGCATTATATTCGAGAAAATGCGACTATTTTATTAATCTTTAAAATATTGGTATTAAATCTGTCTTATAAAATCACGACGACTCCCGTAAATCGAGTTATCCGATAAGAATAAAATACAATACCAATATAGCTCTATCGTTGAAAAAATTCGCTTATTTTTGCTCACCTCGAGTTTTACTTAGTAGAAATGGCTAAAAAGTGCGCAAAATACGTACGAAAATACGATATTACAGCACCACCTGTATTGGACGATCACCTGTCTAAAAGACCACTTTTTGAAGGAACTGTGGGTGGTCGCCATAGATAGGTTTTACTGTATTTTATTTTTAACTATATATTTTTATAAGTTCTTTATTTACGAGAAAACAATAGATTTTAATCAACGAAATTCAGAGAAATTCATTACATAATTAAAATAAATTAACAGAGATTTCCTTATTACTCTTATAAATAATTCATACCGACAAAGGAAAATTTTATGTCAATAAATTAGTTATTGGAAATTTTCTGTTATTTCCATTAGCAATTTTTATGTATATTTTCAATATTTAAAAATAATAATATATAAAATATATACAGTTACATATATAAATTTATATGTTAACTAATTACAAATAATTAAAGTTTTAATTAATGTAAAGTATAAATTGTCTGCCTACAAAATAAGAAGAAAAAAATACATTTTACGTTAAATTTTAATACAATATGTAAAATATATTTAATAAAGGTCTAAATCTTTTCTACTAAATATATATATTTAGAACTGCAAATTCAGACATTTTGCTGTTTGAAAATATTCTTTATTTTGTAAACACTGGATAAAAATAATTGTATCTTCCATTAATATATAATATCGATAATAATAAAATGCTTGTAAATAATTGCATATTCTCAAAAAAATAGTTAATGTACATGTAAAATTTATTATATTTCATTGCATAGAAATTTAATTTCTTACATGATTACTATACGCGCACGCAAACAAAAAAATAAAAATAAAATAAAATAAACCGGAATGGTAGCGATATTTTAGCATATTATAGAATATTACAGCAAAAATTAAATTAAATTAATTATATATTTTGTCGGATGTCTACGTGAAAGAAACTTGTGTTTTCGTTAAGCAATGGGGTTCCCATTCTAGTTGAAAAAAATTTATTTGCTATATATTAATAAGGCCGACCAGTGGCCAAGCGGTCCTCGTACCCTGAACACTGGGAGCTCTCGTGAATTCGCACCTCGCTCGGACGTGCTAGCCACGTGGAGTTTTTTAGGTTTTATCCACGTTTGTAACGCCTAAATAGGAGCCAGTTTCCCTTAAAAAGGCACCCCCTAGGCAGATCGCCCAAGTGTTGCGTTGTCATAACAAACAAAGTAGATGGTAATAAGTTGGAATTGATGATTTACTTCTAATAGGAAACATTAATATAAAAACTGTTTAAATTAATTATACTCTTAAAAGAAATACTTAAAATTTTTAATTATATAATAATATATTTTTACTAACAAAGTTAAAGAAAATTTCAAAGAAAAAAAAATTTTTAATTCTTTTGAAATTGCATTTTGTTTTTTTTTTTCGTTATTGTTTTTAATAACTTATTTTAAATTTAATTAAATTTATACCCATAAAGTTATAATACAAAATAAACACATTTAATTATCATAGAATTTTATTTTAAAATAAACGATTTAATTACTTAATTAAATTAGGGGATTTAGTTTTAATTATGAACGCGAGATATCGCTAGATTCGCTCTTCCAAAATGGCGGAAATACAGGTAGTGGATGTTTCGTTGATGATGCGATAAAATTCGGAAATGGAGATAATAAGGAATTCCTGAGAAGTTATTCATGAATATAAAAATTTCCCGTCGTAAATATACGAAATAATTTTCATAAGTAATCGAATGTGATTTTGTTTTTAATAACTTTAACAAAAGTTTTTCCTAAACTTTAAAATGGCTTCCGTCATTTCAATCGGGAAGAAAGATATTTAAAATAATTTAAATACTAAATTATTTTTTTAAGATGCGAAAGTTTAGTGATATTTCAAGAAACGTTTCTTCTGCCACTTGTTGATATTGATATTATTTAAAAATGTCTTTCCTTAATAATATACGGAAAATATTTAGTTTGGGTATGGGACCAGATGCAAAAAGGAAGAGAGTTTGTTTAAATATTAAATTTGATGAGGATCCAGAACAAATATGGGAAATCGTTGGAGAGTTAGGCGACGGAGCTTTTGGTAAAGTCTTCAAGGTAAGTTATATTTATATTACATCTATTATACATTAATAAAAAATAACTTCTTGTTGTAGATGATAATAGTTAACATATCATCTAAATTATTAGTCAATTGGTAAATAATCACTCAAATTACTCAAAAAAATATATGCATTAATGATCAAACAGTGTCTGTTGAATGTATTAATATATGGCGGCGGTAGAAGAAAACATCTGATTACTGCTGAATTGAGTTTTTCGTGTTACATACTGATACAGTAACTATATTGTATTTGCTCCTTACCAGCTGCCTTCTTTATTGTGAGTCTGGTCAAATATATAATGGGCATAAAATAAAAACTCTAATTATTAGTCTTTAATATAAGAGTTTTAAGTATATATTTTGTATATAAATGTATTGCATATATCCATTTTTTTCCATGTAGATATATTTTGGAGTAATAAATTAAATAGCAATATACTTTCAGGAAAATTCACCTGTCGTGTTTTTTTTTTAAATGTCAAAGACAGACTTTAAATTTTTCAAGATTATGATTAATGATTACATATTTCTTTAATTAGATTACTGATAAGAGGATTGAGGAAGTTATATGTAACAAACATCACTTCCATNTGCTCCGGATCCGCTGAATTCTTAGGAATAATGATGGGTATAGATGTCGGTTTACGATAAATATTGGTTCGGATTTCCCCTTTTATGCATGTTATCGTCAGATCTAAGAAATTAACGCTACTACTCCCTTGTTGCTCCAATTCCAAGGTTAAACCATACGGGTTACTGTTTATCCGATCTACAAAATGCTTGATGTTGCGATTATCCTTCCACAATAAAAATAAAAATGGTTTTTATTTTTATTGATTTTATTCTCCAGTAAGCAAGTATACTATTGTGTAATAAAATTGCATAATCTAATTGTGTTACAAAATTTCTATGATGATTTTCATTAGTAAAAGTATTATATTAAAAGTAAGATGAAAAATTAGAGTTGAATCTGTAAAAATAAATACATTAAAGATTGAAAATAAAATTATCAAGTATAAATATAAAGTCTATAAAAGCTTATTTTAACTTTAAAAATATTATAATTTAAATGGATTGTTTCAAGTGATTCTGGAAATTAAATTAAGTATGTTTAAATGTATAACAATCCATACACCAGTATTTTTCAAAGTCCTTGGTAAAGTGGAGCCCTTAAGCAAGTAATTTTAATTTTGCAGAGCCCTCACAATTCAATGGCATCTTCTGTTATAAACTTGTACATTTAATTAAAATTTTACATTTAGAAATAACTTTATAAAAATCCAAATTATCAAATAATGTAAAAAGCAACTTCACATTATGTGTTCAAATTGTAAACCTTCAGAGAACTAACAATAATATAAAGTACAGTAAATCTTCAGTTTAATAGCCTAATTGAGGAAAGGGATGTCTACTATTGCCAAAAGTCTGTTAAATTGAATGTTTTAAAAACACATTAGTAACAAACTTAATATGTGTTAAATGTTGATATATTAAGTATGAATAAAATAATAATATAATGTACATTGAGTAATTTACACTCATTGATTCATTGTTTCAACCTTTTACCATACTTTATTTACAATCAAATAAGATTTGAAATTCTTCCTATAGGACAAATCTTTTGTCCATTAGATCAAAAGTCTGTTAAATTGAGGGTTCAGTGTATTCAGAAAAATGTTTTAAAACATTATTCAATGGTTTTTTTTTATTTTCAGTTATTTAGAAATTTAATTAATGAGCATGTTAAAACTATAAATTTGATATGTGCTTTTTAAATGACTTTTATATATTTTCTTTATTATATTTTTTTTAATTTAATATTTTATTAATGATAGTGGCAAAATTATTTAAGCATAAAGGATCATTTTTATGACGATATAGATATATTTTATTACCATTATTTTTAAAGTAATTAAACAATTTGGTTTGATTATTGTTAGTATTACAGTTGAATCAAGTAACTATTAATGTTTTTTAAAATTACAAATTCTTAATGTTGATGGTGAAAAAATAAAGCAATTGCATTCATGATGGGAAAAGTATTTTACTCATTATTAATTATCAATGTTTTCTATTCATGTTTTGTTATGCTAATCACCTTGAATAAGGAAGCATTTTCTTATTCATGTATGTCATGGTGGTTTAGTCTTATGATTTGTTATTCAGGCTGAAGTTTTTAGTAATAAATAACATGAAGAAATTTCATCATGTTATTTATGGAAAATTGAGAGATGTGAAATGATTTCTATATCCTAATGATGATAGCCAAATATAGGCATTCCTGTGTAGTCAGTGATTGGTATATTAATGCAGAAGTTTTGCAGTATTCATTATACAAAGCCTTATTACCCATTGGTCCTTTGGTGAGAGATTTAGAATTGAAGCAGGCAATTAGGCAATCTTCAAATATACCTAGACTGTTTACTTTTGTCAAAACTCAAACTGGATACATAATTCTGTCCCATTCTGGATGAATGCTCTTCTGACATAATTGATAGAAAAAGACCTAAATAAGTTTTATTATTTGTAGGTAGGTTACATAATTATAAAAAATAAGTTTTTATAAATCAAACTTTTAATTTTGGTAACATGTATAGATAGATGTTAGATATCTTTTAAGCTTACTATATTAGGCTGACCGTAACATTTACAATCAACTGGGGACACATTTCAGAATCATTGAAAATGGGTCTAAAACTGATTGAACTTTGGTTATTTTTTTAAAATTTATTTATTTACTGATCTATAAATTGGTGCTATTACACTGGCATGTTGATAAAATTGCTCTATTCAAAGATTGATTCTACAACCAAATATTAAAATCAGGCAAAGCCAGGTACATCTGGCACCCTAACTATAGTCTGCAGCATCATAGAGTTTTAAAATACAAAACAGCAGTGTTCAGTTTTAATATTGTTATTGTTATTAAATATATATATGTATGTATGTATATAAAATTAAGATAAGATGATTCTGAAGAAATTTAAATAACAAGTCTATTAAACTAAGAGAGAAGTATATAAAACTATTAACTAGGAATTTAAACTTCAAATAATTATTGGATATCAGAAAGTTTGTTATTAATTTAATTTGAAAATTAGTAACTTAGTTATAAGATTAAAATTTTTTTATTGTATTGTTATTAGCAATATGAAAAATGTTTTAATGGATTTCAGTCAAGTATTTTTAAATTATGCTTTTATCTAGAAAAAAAAATATCAAGATCATTGTGTAATAAATAAAAATAAAAACCATTTAACTATCCAGCAAAATTCTTTAATAACTTAAAAACGTTTTCAAACGCATTAAGCGTTCATCTTCAGTTAATTCTATGAATTCGAAATGTGAAAATTCGAAAAATTACGCAACGGGAATTCCAATTAACAGTTATGTAAAAAATAAAAATAAAAAATAAAAATGTAACGTGTTACAAACGAAAGTACTATATATAAATTTTCGTGTACTTAATAAACAATAATAATAATAACAAATAAACAAATAAATAAAATATCTATCATCGATCATCCTAAGCCTGATTGAGCTTTTTATATAGATTATGCCAATTCGTCGCAAAAAGATTTCCAAGCGGACGAAAGCCCGTCGGCATCCCTATAGTTGATACACTGTGCGGTCTTCTGTGCCCTGTGGATTTCCAGCTTTTCGAGATGTTTTATCGCGTGTTTAGATGTAGTGGCTTTTATTATAGAGGCCTGGTCCCAGAAAACAGTAATGCCTTGTTGTTTAGCATAAGTGGCAAGGATCGTGCTGTCAATTGTTTTGTTCACTGAAAGCTTATGTTCATGGATTCTTTTTTTCAAATTCCTCAATGTTGCGCCTATATATACTAAGTTAGAGTTGAACCTGCTGTCTCTTAGCGGTATCGAGTATATTCCTGTTAAGGAGTTGCTTTCATAATCCCCCTTGTCATTCCTTAACATTTTGTATATAGTGGGATTACGCCGATAAACTATCTGTAAGTTCTTACTTTTGGTAATCTTCTTAATAATCGGTTTAAGGAAGGGTATATAATCGAGGACCATTTTTTCTTTTTGGTGGTTTTGCTTTTGCCTCCTTGCAAGATTATTATCTTTCTTAATGAGAGCCTCTATTCTTCTTCTCCCGTAGCCATGCTGCATGGCAGTTCTTCGTATATATTGTATCTCCTTAACAGTATCGCAAACATTTGTGCAATGGGTGTGCGCTCTCCTTATCCAAGATCGAAATACCGCCATTTTAATATGCTCCGGATCCACTGAATTCTTAGGAATAATGATGGGTATAGATGTCGGTTTACGATAAATATTGGTTCGGATTTCCCCTTTTATGCATGTTATCGTCAGATCTAAGAAATTAACGCTACTACTCCCTTGTTGCTCCAATTCCAAGGTTAAACCATACGGGTTACTGTTTATCCGATCTACAAAATGCTTGATGTTGCGATTATCCTTCCACAATAAAAATAAAAATGGTTTTTATTTTTATTGATTTTATTCTCCAGTAAGCAAGTATACTATTGTGTAATAAAATTGCATAATCTAATTGTGTTACAAAATTTCTATGATGATTTTCATTAGTAAAAGTATTATATTAAAAGTAAGATGAAAAATTAGAGTTGAATCTGTAAAAATAAATACATTAAAGATTGAAAATAAAATTATCAAGTATAAATATAAAGTCTATAAAAGCTTATTTTAACTTTAAAAATATTATAATTTAAATGGATTGTTTCAAGTGATTCTGGAAATTAAATTAAGTATGTTTAAATGTATAACAATCCATACACCAGTATTTTTCAAAGTCCTTGGTAAAGTGGAGCCCTTAAGCAAGTAATTTTAATTTTGCAGAGCCCTCACAATTCAATGGCATCTTCTGTTATAAACTTGTACATTTGACAGAGAAAGAATGAGGCCACAAGACATTAAATTTCTAATTATTATTATTATTATTTCATTGAATTATTAAATTAAAACATATATATAATTATTTATAACCATTTATTAATAAACAAGTATGTATATTTTATTTTTATCATTGTTGAATGAAATCTCAGTTGTACAAATTTTGCATGATAAGAGCAAATGACAGCTATCATGTTGATGTGTACTGCAGACTCAAATAACAACTGATTGCTTAAAAATAGTTATAAAGTAAACAAATAATGCATTTGATTCATTAACTTTAAAAATGTTTTAAAAGATTTATGGAGCCGCTTTAGTAAATGCTGCTATAGATTATATATGGCAACCTCTGAGTAAGAATGATCCAAGTTTAGTGTTATAGCCTTAGCATGTGGAGTTTGCCTAAAAACAACTGCTTTATCTAATGCAATATAGATCCAAGTTGAATTTGTTATTACATCCTAGGCCCATAAAGAAAAAACGAAAAAAGAAAGTATGAAAAATATTGCGTAAAAGTTTTTGTTAATTATTTTAAAATTAAAATTTACTGACATGGATTATTCTTGCTTTGAGGTCATCATACAGTATGTATTTAATGTTTGAGTTTACCTGATTGTATCTGTAATACAATAGAATGAAACACATAAACTGAAATTTTTATGGACTGTTTTTAAGTTCTAATTTACTTAAACTGCTAATGAATATGACATTAAAGATTTGTTATCTTATGCAATACAGTAATACCTCGACTTATGCTACCCCGACTTACGCGAACCCGGAGTTATGCGATTTTCAAATCTCGTCAATTCGTCTTTTGTTTGACCGCCACGCAACCCTTGATTACTCACTCCCCCCACACTATTGTTCAGCTTACATGTTCGGATGTGTCGCGCGGAATCCATACATGGCTACAATTTATTTTGTGTTATTTATTTCTGTGTTTGTTATATCTACGGAGACTCAAGAGACTCTACTATGTCATCCAAACGAAGTAGAACTAATTCGTCTGCATCAAACAAGAAAAGATAAACTTTATCTTTGGAATGTAAAGTTAACATTGGGTATGTTTGTAAAGTCGAACGAGTTAAACGAGAATGACATCATCGTTATTCCTATTTCGTTAGACTTTTTGAACGATTCGTTACTAACGCGTTTAACTCGTTTGACTATGAATGTACCCATTATTAAAGACTTCGATTCAAAAATGAAAATTTGTGAATTGGCAAAGAAGTTTGATCTACCGGAATTGTCGGCCAGAACAATTATAAAAGGCAAAGAAAAAATTATCAAAGCTATGAAAAATGCTCAATCTTTAAACTCAAGCATCATTCGTAAACGTCACAGTATTATCGCTGAGATGGAAACAATGTTAAAATTATGGCATAATAATCAAGTAAATGTGAAAAATTATAAAATAATATAGGCCTAATTTATTATACATATGTATTATCTAAGATTTTATTAAACATTTTTTTCTAAATTATTGTTTTCTTTAGTCTCCGGCCCCAATAAAAAATTATTTATATGTATTTATATGCGAAATTATACCCCGACTTACGCAGTTACCGCTCGGTCCCACCTATCATGTGAGTTTGGGGTATTACTGTATAAATTAATGATTGATTAATAAGTACAGTACTTTAGAAACAACTAGGAGAAACATTTTGTATGTGCCATTTTTATAGCATAAAATTATTTAAGATAATTCATAATTTTTTTGTATAAGAAATTTTTTATTTGAAGTTTTAGTATCTTAAAAAATAACCTATAAAAATTTCAACTCTGGATTTATACAGTATATGTATATAAGTGTATTGGACTATGTTTAATATTGGACGATGTATACTGCACATACATACATATGACTGTTTAGTGATTAATTAATTAAAAATATTGATAAAACTTCTAATAACCAAAAAACCAGCAAAATGAACACTCACTTAAAAAGCAAATGTTTTTGTTCATTTTTAAAAGGACTTATCATGATTTCAAGTTATGTACAGACAGGTAATCTTGAAATCTTTGGACCATACACATTTTGGAATTTGGACTTTTTCAGATTTAAAAATGGTAAAATACCACACAGATATATCATGATTTAGCTTCTGTAATAACTTTATTTTCTGCACTGTCAATAATAACAAATGCTTTTTTTTTTGTTTTTTCCATTGTTTTTTTCATAGTCATCGTAGTTGAAAGAATCAAATCACAGAATTGTAAAGGTAATAAAGGTCATCATGTGTTATCAATTCCCAATATTATTTGATTGCATACCCCTTGGCAGCCCATTTTTCTAAATTGTACCCCTTACATTAGAAAAATGTTTGTACTCTATATAGTTGTATTTTAAACTTGTAACTGTACATAAATAGCAGCAACGTGGCAAGGAAGGTGCACAGGGCTACTGAATTGATGAAGATTAAAAGGTTATCTGTATAGGTATAAATGTTTAGTGTTTGGTGTTTTACCTACTTTTCTACTTACCATACCATTGCTCTTTGAAGTTGGTTAATAAAAAAGAAACTAATCTTCAACACAGAATGTTCTTACAGTGCCATTATTAATTTTTCTTTGCATACCCCCAGTTGGGAATCATTGCATTATATCAATGCATGTTTGGTACCAAATGTGAGTTTTGATGTACAGACAATATCTATGAATGTTTTTTGTTCAGAATTTCAGTTAAGAGATTGTGTATTTTTATATATCTGGGAATGAAGATTAAACCAAAGACTGATAGTGTTATTAATAAAATTTTTGCCCAGCTTGCAGGAATTGTTTTTTTAAGTCTAGTTTCAATGCAGGAAAATTGTTTCTTCTAGATTTTCCAAATTATCTGTTAATTAAAAAGATGGTATGCACTTATCTTTTGTATCATTCATTACTAATTTAAATAAATTTTACCAAAGGTGTAGGCATAAAAATTCTGCTTTTCAGGTATTTTTTTTTATAAGATTGTTCAAGATTGAGCTTGATATTTCAATGTAGAATACTCTAATTTTTTGTTATACTTCTTAAATGATTATCTATTAAACATTTTTGCTGTTTATGTTAATTTGTTAATCTTTAAATCCATGTAGTCAATTAATTTTGAACAGAATTTTAAATTGTTTATTTACACTTTGAAATATTCTAATAGAAAAATAATTCAATTAAGTAACTGAAATGTTATATCTATCTTTAATATATTACAAAATATATTAACAGATAAGCCTGCAGATTTGAAGTTTGCTTAATTAACAAATTAATTTGTAATTTTAATAAATTAATTTATTTGTTGTCATGATTAATTTACTAAATATATTTACATTTAGGCTCAAAATAAAGAAACCAAGAAATTAGCTGCTGCCAAAATATGTGATTTGAAAGGAGAAGATGATTTAGAAGATTTTACTGTTGAAATTGATATATTGAAAGAATGTAAACATCCAAATATTGTTGAATTATTAGAAGCCTTTTTTTTCGAAGGAAAATTATGGGTATATTTTTAATTATTTTAAAAACAATTTAGTCATATAAAAAACAAGTTCAAAAAAGTTTTTTTGTGATAAAATAGGAATTTTTTAAGAACCAATTTAAATATATATATATATAACATAATATAAACAGTATACACTGAATAGTCCTATTGTTTATTTTTTAATTCAGATATAAAAATTTTTTTGAACATAACTATTTTGTATAAATTTGTTGCTTAAGTATTTAATTACAGTTTATCATTAGAATATTTCTATCAGTTTATGAATGTATCAATTATGAGTCTACATAATTAAAATATTGTTTAATTGAAGTATATTCACACTAAAGGTTTAATAATAATTGCTTATAAATCAAAGTGAGGTAAAATTTCTTTTCCTCATAATGATACAAATATTTCACTCTAAAAGAGAGATTGGATTTCATTTATGATAACTTTTTTTCAATTTAAAAAATTTATTTTAGTACAGTATATAGTAATTCTGTAACATTGAGCAATGTTATTTTTAAAAATAGTTTGAGATGCAGTTAACAATTGATGTTTAATAAGTTCTAAATATTTTGATAAAGCTAAATAATAATACATATAAAATTTGCAAACATTTTTAGAAAAATATTAGTATTTTGTAATTTAAAGACTCCACATTGCACAGTAAAAGATTCAGTTTTATTTAATTTCTATAGGCTTACTTGTGTATGTTTTTATTCATACTTTCATAGAATATTAGAATAAAAGTATTTAAGAAAGAAAAATTAAATTTGGGATGAATTTTAAATTTTTATGAATATTTATTATATAATTTTGTTTATCTCTTCCTCTGCATCTGTTATAGATAATTTTTATAAAGTAAATCCCTCTAACTGAGATTAATACAAGATGAAGATTGTCCAAGTTTACAAAAGTTAATGAAGTGTTTTCTCCAATGATGTGCAAAAAGAAAGGGTATTGGATAAGGGATGTATTGGTATATTACAGTAATTTATTATAATCAGCTCTAAACAGAAGTTTTATTGAGTACTTGCTTACCCGTCACGCATTGCAGCAATCTCAGAAGAAAGGAAATTCAAGCAAACTCGTTATGATAAAATTAAATTTACATTTTATCATTTTCATTGAAACTTATTATTATTCATTTTCATCAGGAAAACATTTCAAAGTGTTGTTTCAATTTTATTTATTTATTGGAGTGCTTTGTGGATACACGATATTTTTTGTTTTTCCGTCTGGTCCGTACACGAATAAATCAAAAGGTTTTCCGGCGCGTGAGTTGGCCACATACAGTTGTCCAAGCGAGAAGCACAGATTCTTTAAATTTAGCCCACATACTCGCAGAGATTGTTAGAAGTGCGATATTCCCCATTTTTATATATATTTTTTAATCCTTCATAATTTTGATTATTTAATTGCTCCTTCCTCTCTTCCTTGGCGTGTTGTGAAATTTCTCATAGTTGGATAATAAACCGTTTTATTGTAATTTGTCTTTTTAAATTATTTTGAGTTGATATTAAAATTTGGAAAAGGGGGATCCCTAGATCGGTAAAATAGGCGAATTTCCTTCTACAACTTCGGTTGTTGTTCATGATACAGTTAAGGCTTTAACAAAGTTTGAGCAATTACGTAATTAGCAAAAAAAAAGTTGAAATAAAGTGATTAAACAAAAATTATAACAAATATCGTAAATAATAAATGCATATATAGAGATATTTTTTGGAGGGGGGGAAATGGTCTTCACAATTTGAAATCGAATGAACACACTGTGCTCGAATGCTCGTGTAAACGCGCGCCATCTATTGTAGGGTAAATGCCAGAAACCTTCGCGGGAGTGTATTAAAAAAAAACTTCCCAAAGCTTCGTGGCAATCGCACTATGCCACAAACCTTCGCTGGAGTATATTAAACAACTTCCCAAAGTTTCATGGCAATCAGATAAACGGTGTGGTAATGCATGAAGGACACGCACACATACATTCATTTTTATATATATAGATTAGTAGATCATACTGTTTAATTTATTATCTCAAAAATTCTCATAATGGTACAGTATATAAAAGTTTTTAGTAATTTACCAACTACAATAATATAATATGTGCTATTGCAAAAACTTCTAGATATTGAAAATACTTGTTAATTATAATTTTTCTATTGTCAAGAAATTTTTAGACTCAACTCAGACAATTTTTTGAAAAATTTGTCTGAGTTGAGAGGTCCAAGTTAGTGGGAATATACTGACTGTACTTTGTAAATGGACTCATTTTGTATGCTAAATACAATTATTATTATCAGCCCACAGTGGGAGTCAAACCTGCACCTTCCACTTACCACATGGTGCACTGACCAGTTATATCATCTGGATCTCCAAACAACTCCTCCCTTCCAGACAAGGTTGGAATAAGCCAGTGGGCATTAAATGTGTCACCAGATGGTGTTGTGGGCAACCATTGGATGGTTATATCTAAAAGTATAAATGTATTTGGAAGAGAGGAGTCACTTGGAGGTCCAGGTGGCATAACTGGTCAGTGCATTGCACAGTAAGTGGAGGTTGCAGGTTTAACTCCTGCTCTTGGCCGCTTATTTTTCTTCCAGACAATTCTAAATTTAAAATTAAATTATAGTTACTACTTTTGTTAAGAGATGGCACCTAATGTCTACTTTAGTTGCTCTAATCATGTAATTAATAGTTAATATTTGTAGCATAATTTTTGCCCTATTAATTTATCTGATGGTTGGATGATTATGTATTTTTATTTATACTGTAATAAGTAAAATTTAAAACTAGTATTTAAACAAGATGGCTCAATAGTAGGCCTGTAGATGATTGATGACAATCATTATTAATTAAAAATCTGTAATTTTTGGAATTTGTACAAATAGTATTCTTTGAAGACACTTTTGGATAATCAATGTGCTACTATATTTATACAGTATCCCTCATACAATACTCAATCCTTCTAACACGGTTTGAAAATTAGGGATATATCTCATACAACACAACATCTGTTTTGCTCTAACATGATTTTGGAAATCCTCTGTATAAAATTTCATAATTTTTAAGTATAAACTTTGTTAACAACTAACCTCTAAAAACCAATACCGGTGCGTTTTCTCCAAAAAAAAAAAAAATACACTATCACTAACGTTTTCGAACATAAAGTTCTTCCTCAGGTGAGAAACGGACGAAAAATTGAATAAAAATTTGATGGAACACTTTCTGAAGAGCTCCATAAAATGATTCAAACCTCGTGCGGTTGACGACATCATTGCACATGCGCCTTCCTCAGAAGTAAAAAAAATCTCTCTATTAACATCCGTCGTATATAAATGCTTGCCATGCTACGGATAAAGATAACTCCTCCTTACTGTTAATACATTTATTATTTTGGGCAGTTTTTTATATATATAAATTGCCTCCATCCACCTCAAATGTTCCGTATGTTGCGTGGAGCGGATGATCTTAGCCTCATCAAATATTGGTTGGATGTCCGGATCTTTGGCATAACATGCCAAAGCTATTGTAATTCTCTTATGTAGTATGTCCGCTTTATGTTCTTTCAGTCTCACCCCCAATGAGCGCTTTGTGGAGCCAACGTATATTAAATCCTCATCATATCTGTGAACTTTTAACGGGATGGTATACACTCCAGATAACATGTTTTGGTTGGAAGTATCCTTCGCATTACGGAGCAGCTTAAATATATTAGGACATCTTCTATAAGTGATGCAGATTTGTCTCTTTTTAGCAATTTCTGAATACAGTTTCTCTAGAGCTTTATAAAGCTTTGGCACGTTAAGCCACAGATCCAGACATCCAACCAATATTTGATGAGGCTAAGATCCCCGCTCCACTCAACATAAGGAACATTTGAGGTGGATGGAGGCAATTTATATATACAAAACTGTCCAAAATAATAAATGTATTAACAGTAAGGAGGAGTTATCTTTATCTGTAGTGTGGCAAGCATTTATATATGACAGATGTTAATAGAGAGATTTTTTTTACTTCTGAGGAAGGCGCATGCGCAATGATGTCGTCAACCGCACGAGGTTCGAATCGTTTTATGGAGCTCTTTCAGAAGGTGTTCCATCGAATTTTTATTCAATTTTTTGTCCGTTTCTCACCTGAGGAAGAACTTTATGTTCGAAAATGTTAGTGATAACATATTTTTTTGGAAAAAACACATTGGTATTGGTTTTTAGAGGTTAGTTATTATATATCGTGGTGTGCTGTTGATGTTTTATAAACTTTGTTATTTGATTTTTTTTTATTCAAGTAATCCTGCATGTTGTCTCAAATTTGCTCATGGATTTTAGAATATTAAAATTTTCAAATTATTTCGTGTTTTTTGTCAGGTTTACTTTAATGAAAACTGATAGGACAGGGAAGAAAAAAATTGCACTGACTTTCTTATCAACCACGTATCATTGTCGTTGCTTTCAGACTTTAGTTTTTAAGACTGTCACTGTGTTTTCTTTTTATAGATTAATCTTTGTATTTTCATAAAGCTTATTTAAACATTTTTAGGTAAGTGTTGTTAAACTTTTTTTAACTGTAGATATTACTTACATGAATGATTACTTCATTTGTAAAAATGACAAATGAAATACAATGATGTTTCGGGATTTGAACAGTTCCCAACTTGAACAATTTGATATTCAAACACAAATTCTGGAAAAAAAAATCTCTTGGTACTTGACTGAACAAATGTGACTCTTTAAAACAAATTTTTGAATGATAACATATTTTTATTTTAATTTGTCATCCATAAAAAATTATGATAAAAATAAAAACATGAAAATGTTGCTGATATTTTTGATCAAGATTAACAGAAAAGCTCAGAAAATGACAATACTTTGAAAAAAGAAAACTCCCTCATTTAACTAAAATTAATATTAACAGTACTTTTATTAATAATTCTGATTGTTAGTTAATTATTGATTGAAAATAAAGTATTGATTGCTTTAATAAATATATTTCTCTTAGTAATGAAAAATAATAGTATATTTTGGCCAACTTCTGGAACCTAATCCCATTTTTTGAATTAGTCTTTTGTTTCCACGAATTTGCATAACACTGCACTTTTTCAGAACATAACTACCATGTTATAAAAGGAATATTTAAATTTTTTTCAAAATTTTATCTGTAAATTTCTGTTTTCAACAGTATTTTATGAATAAAGATTATATAAACTAATAAAGCACCTGATACTTATGTAATAAGTACAGTGGTACCTCAGGATACGAAATTAATCCGTTCCGAAACTGAGATCGTATCATGAAAATGTCGTAAGGTGGATCATCTTTTCCCATACGATTACATGTAAAACCAAATAATTCGTTCCAACGCGAAAAACATACTCAAATTAAAGCCAAGTAATACATT